TTACTTGATTTAAGAGCAATAGCAGAAAAAATTAATCCTTATTAATTTATTTAATCTGAAGACGATAGCCAAACACACTATCATTATTGATTTTCAATTAATTTCAGTTGTACGAATCTTATCTTCGAAATATTGACCACAATGAATCATTCATTGATAAGAAAAAGGGAAAGTATTCGGGAAATGTTTTTTTTATGGAAAAAATCTTCATTTTTTTCTTCAGATGTTTTTTCCGACAACAAAAAACAAAAACATGATTTTAATTTCAATCCCAATTTTTTCTATTTGGCAATAAATTTCCAATCAATAACGATCGATGCCAAACGATATTCAATCATTTCATGTTTTTCAGCTGAACAATATTTGTAAGTAAGTAACGAGATTGTGAAAAAAGAATCGATAAATCCTATTGATTGATTACCCAGATTGAATGATCATCAATTTGTTTTTGTTTTTGTTGTTGTAGATTCATTGTGGATCAAGATTTCACACACACACCCTAAACGAATTGAATTTAGTAATCCAAGGCGGTGGCGTTATAATGAAATGATGTGTAAAAAAAAACAAAATTTAGATTCTGATATTAAATTATGATAAGCAAAACGATATCATTTTTTTTACTATAGTTTGGATCAATTATAAATGGATCACGATAGTAAATAGGATTTGCAAATCGAAAAAAAAACAAAACAAAACAAAACGAAAAATTTAAATTTTCAAATTTTTTTTTCTAATCCAAAAAATTATTTGAATGAAATCAATGCCAATCATATATGTTGTTGGTGGTGGTGGTCTTGCTGCTTTTTCGGACAATATTTTTTTTCAAAAGGTCAAATTTGGTTTACGTTTCAAACATTTCAAACAAACGTATCATATCATCATAATTGATCAAATTGAATAATTGATTCAATCGATTTATTTGATGATTGAATAAATTAAACATGATGATCTATTTATGGATTGCATAATTTTGTTTGTTTTTTTTTTCATTGAAATTTTAAAATTTCAATAAAAATCAGATTCTATTATCGAATTGAATCTTGAATTTTCTCTTTGTTGTTTTTCTCTTCACTTCTTTTCCTATCACATCATATCGCAAATATGATGACGAAATTAACACTACGAATCTATTTCCAACATCATCATCATTATTGAATGATTTTTTAACTCGTGAGCTTTTTTAATGATAATGATGATGATTATCATCATCATCATCGATCATATCTTTACCGTTATTTTAGAGACGTTAATATATTACATAGACATAATCAAAAATGAGTTTGTTGTATTTTCACTTCGTTTCTCTCTTATTTTACTGAAATTTTTTCGAAAATAAAAACGATGATCCTCCAGAAAAATAAATTCGATAAATATCCTGAAATTCGATTAATCATATAATCAAATTTTACAATCATCATCGAACTGGGCAAAATTAAACGTGCCACAAACACAGAAAATTCGTTATCCAAATGTTATAATTGATCATTGATTGATGACAAATCAATGGACAACATATCTTGCAATAGATATGATTTTTCGCTTTCATTCATTCATTCATTTTAGATCAGATTTTGATCGAATTAGGCGTTGTTGCAATTGTTGTTGTTGAATTCTTTTCCAAATGTTTAATCGAAATGTTACATTATCGATCATAAGTCACGCACTTTGATCATGTGATATCGAATGCTAAATCGATATTTGATGAAAAAAAAGGAAAAGGATTTTCGCTTATTTTCTATCTTAACTTTCAACATCATCATCATAATCATGAAAAAAGGATTATTGGATGTTGATCCAGTCGAAACGAAAGCTAATTTTATCCAAATAGATAATCCCAAAAAGATTTCTTCTTTCAATGTTTTGTGGTCTACAGGTTTGTCTGTTTTGGATTTTTTTGTTTTTTTTTTGTTTTTCTGTTCATAATCATCGTTTGATCGATAAGATTGAAAAGTTTACCATTGTTTTGACCAATCACACACACACACCGTATTGATGAAAATCGAAATTAATTGAAATCTGGATTTCAAACTGGTCAGTTTTGTAATTCGGTAAAGATTTTTTTTTCGAAATATTTCCGGAAAATTCAATGTTTTTCTGTTTACGCAGCCCAAACAAAAATCATCCTTATTAAATCACTGGATCCACAACAACAACAATGAATATAGTGTGTGTATAAATGCGAATCCCAAATAAGTTCAAAATAAATCTCGACCATCATCATCATCGTCAAATGTCCAAAAAACAAACGACATTCAAGAACATTATCTTGTTCATCGTCATCATGATGGTAATGATAAATGATTTTTTTTTTGCAAACAAAGTAAAAAATTTTATTATTATGGTCATCATGATAATAATTACAATAAATCAATGAATGAGAAAAAAAAAGAAGAAAAAAAACAACAAAAAATGAAAAATTAATCAAAAATAAAAATAAAGATAAAGCATGGTAATAATTTTTTTTTTAAATATTTGAAAAAAAAATTGTTTTTTGAATTCAATTTAAATTTGCTCATTTTGAGCAACAAATAAAAAAAATTTAAATTTCATCCATGTGGAATCATTATTTTTTTGAGGCAGACGAATCGGCATCATAACATAATCTTCAGGATAATCTATAGAATAAAACAAGTTTAAAATTTGATTAACAAATAACATGATTATCAAACAGATTATAGTTTTTACATACACCTGAAGTTATCAATTTTAAAATTGGACTGCTCATTGAAATAATTTTCATTTTTATTATTGATTTCTTTCATTTCAATCTCAATTATAACATTACCATAAAATGAAATTAACAAAATAAAATTTATTATAAAAATAATGAAAACTATGAAAATAAATAAATAAATATGTTAACTTTCAATTTCAATTTCGATCATTATCATTTTTTGTCAGGTTTTGTACTTGACGACGGATTTTGATTATTTTTTTTACGACCAACGCAACATATTGATTGCAAGTATTTTAGTTTTCGTGGTTGTTCTGGTTTTACCAGAACTAAATTAGGATGATTATCTGATTCTTCCAATGAAAGTTTATTCATTGGAATGTTTTTGATATCATCATCATCAGGTTTGGTATCATCATTTGATGCCCAAAATCTTTCAAGTTTGGGCTTCGACATTGATTCTTGATCATCCAATGGCGAAAAATTTTCCAGGTTTTGTAGGCTGGATCGCCATTCTACTGGTATAGATCGAAAATCAGTTCGATCTGTATAACCTTCCAGCCAGCGAAATTCTTGTGCAATTTCGCTTTCCGACGATCCGACTCGTAGTTCGAATTGGCTGGTTGTTTCTTCATAATCAGCCGGATCGTTAATGATTTGAAATTCATCCAAATCATTATTTCTATCATTGTCATTAATTTGGTTCATTTTTCAAGATTCGATATAAAAAAAAAATTTTGAATTTGAAAATAGTGTTAATAATTGAAAATAGGGAGTGAGAGACAGAGAGAGAGAAAGTTAACTCTTAATAACTAAAACTATTCTGAATTTATATGATCAAAACGATAATTGTTACCTGTAAACGATAATTAATTTTTCCATTGTTTCACAGAAAAATATTAACAATAAATAAATTTAATTTATAATTTAATTTAATTTAAATTCTACACCACATTATCATTATTACACAGAAAGTAACTTCATCATTAAGACCGTTAAATCGATGATACTGCTATCTCTGCAGGTTAGGGCAGCACGTGTTTCAAAATTACAAATGAACGGAAATCAAGCACATTCATATAGTACGAAACAGAATTTTTTTTTATTAAAAAAAAATTATTTAAAAGATCCGGCGGTTTTAATTTAAAAAATTAAAAAAATTAACCACACACCATTTATTGTTCTTTTTTGTCTGTTTTTTTGTGATCATCTTCAAAATATTCCATAATGGATTCAAATTTTTTCAGAATATATAGAAAACCAATCACCATTGGTGTGAATATCAATGGTACCAATAAAGGAATACGGAAAATATCACGTTTTCGCCAATTGATACTGCTTCTGTCGTCATTAACTTTTTTGGTTGTTTTTGGTGTTTTATAGCGACGACGTGATAAAAGTGGTTTCGGATCATATGCTTCATCATTATCAGCATCATAATCCGATGATTCTGTGTTGCTATAGAAACTGATAATTTTATGAGAATTCAAATCATCAGAATCATCACCAAAGTTATTATTTGGAATTTTCTGATCACCATCAATAGCCATAACAGAACTGGCTTGTGATTTATGATCAATGGAATCCAATGTATTTTGAACATCATCAAAATTCGGAAAATCCATGGCATAATCAACATTTTGCATTGGCCATCGATTTATTGAACATGGACTTGATCTCCATTGTATTTCGTCATCATGATGAGTTTCATTGGTGAAATGATCAAGCCAATGAAATTCTCGAGAAATTTCATTTTCATCGCCAATTCTTGCTTCGAATTGGCTTGTAGTTTCGGCATATTCCGCCGGATCTTTGGTAATTTTAATTTGTTGCGGAACATTTTCATTTTCACTATCATCAGAGCTAGTGGTGGAGTTGATGAAGGTGGTGGTTGTGTTATTGGAAATGGTAATTTTTTTCATTTTTGATGGGTTTTGAATTTGGAGTTTTGATTCGATATTAAAAATTAATTTCAATGTAAAAAAAGAGAGTTTAAACTGAAATCAATTTTTTTACTAAAATTATTTACAAATTTATATGATTCTTTTACTAATTGTTAACCCACAGTTAGCATTAATTAGTTATAATAATCATAATGACTATTAGCAACAACAACAACAATACAATCGCAAAACAACAATAAAAAATAGTTGAGCACATTTTTTGACGGAAATTCATTCAAGTTCATTCAAGAACACACATTCAAGAACACACATTCATAAAGTACGAGTACAAGTAAAAGTTTTCAAGTAGAAAATGAAAAATCCATTACAAAATTTAGATAAAAAATATTCAATTTTAACAGAATAAAAATTTATTTACAAAAAAAAAATAAAAAATTTATTTCAAACACCACTACTATTATGAGTTCCATTTAAATGATGTATTGATGTTATTCTTTTCGATGTTCGAATAAATTCATATTCTTTCAAAAAAGATATGAAATAACATACGAAAATCATGTAAAGAATAAGCCATAGCAAAGTGAAAATTCGCAAACAAATCATCCACCAAGGATCTTTTTTCTGATCAGTGTTTTTATTTTTAACAATGTTTGAATCACTTCGATTTCGACAACGACGAGTTAAACGTCGAATACGTTGTTCTAACATTGGTTGCTGATCAATATCATCATCAATATCAGCATCATAGTTTTTGGTTTGTTCTGTTCTAAAGATAACAATNGAATCACTTCGATTTCGACAACGACGAGTTAAACGTCGAATACGTTGTTCTAACATTCGTTGCTGATCAATATCATCATCAATATCAGCATCATAATTTTTAGATTGTTCAGTTCTAAAGATAACAATCATTTCCATGATATCGATCTGATTATCATCTTTTTTGTTGGTAGTGGTGGTATTCTTTTTACCAAATAATTTCATTTTTGTGATATTTGTTAGTGTTTTTTGTTTTGATTCAATAAGTTCAATGATATGAGATGTAGCAGTATAGTGTAATTTTTTCAAAATGAAAAGTTTCACATAAAAACTATTTCAAAATTTATATAATTCATTTGGTGATTGTTTCATAAGAAACAATCAAATTATTCTTTAATTAATTAACATAATTTCAAACCAAACACCATCAATACAACAACAATAAACTTTTACTTGGGACTTTACAGATCCAGTAATATTAGATTCGTATTCATTTGTCATAATGCTATTATATGATACATTTCCAGAATCATTTCGTGTATCAATACTTCATTTGTATTGCTTGGCACTGGACTAGAGCGCCATTCAACGTGATCATAATGTTATTCATAATTTTTTTTTCTTCGCCAATTTCAGATTTGACAAAAAAAAACGAAGTTTTTCGTCCGGGTCACCAAATGTTGAAAGTATGAATGGTGACTGATCATCTTATATGATCATCTCATTCATTATTGATATTTACAAAGCTTATACAAAACTAAAATGACATATGACTAAGGTTCAATATGTGCTACACAGCCAATGGAAATTAAAAAATATAAAAGTTAATGCGAACAAACAATGATTAGAATTTAGAAAATTTATTTATTGAAAGGGACGACGATTTTTATTAAATAATATTTTGGATATTTTAACACATGACCACCACTAATTTTAATTATCCAAATTGGTATTATTTGTTGTTGTTGAATTCTGGTGTTGATGGTTAGTACGTTTTTTCAATAATAATAATAGAACGAACAAAACGAGCATAAATATAAAAAACCAAATCGGGGCTATAATTCGGATATGTCGTAGCCACCATGGATTTGGATTAGTATTATAATCATATGATGAATAATACGTGCAGCGACTATCTCGGCTGCGATGATGTCGACGTCGACGTCGTCTTTGCCGTAGAAATGGTCGTTCATCATTATCATCATAATCACCATCATAATCTTCTGATTGTTCAGAATTATANAAAAACAACATTTAGTTAATTAAAATTCTAATTGAAAATCTAGTCTAATTTACCCCTGACTTGATTGAGATTTTTTATGCGATCAAAATTATTTTTTAAATCGCCAAGTTTATCATTATCATCATCGGATCCGAAATCACCATCAATAGCCATGACAGAACTGGCTGGTGATGCATGTGGTACTGAATCCAAGGTATCTTGGACATCTTGGTAATTAGGGAAATCGATAGCATAATCGATTTCCTCCATTGGCCATCGGTTTTCTGTACCGGGCACAAAACGTGGACTGGATCTCCACTCGGCTTCATTGTGATACGTTTCATTGGTGTAATAGTCAAGCCAATGAAATTCACGGGAAATATCACTTGCATTGCCAATTCTTTCTTCAAATTGGCTGGTAGTTTCAACATAGTCGGTGGGATCATTGATAATCTGCATTTCGATTCTTTCAGCATGATTATCATTATTATCATTATTACCGTTGTTGTTGTTAGTGGTGGTGGTTGTTTTGTCTTTTTCTGATGTATTTTTCATTTTTGTATTTAGTGTAAGTTTTTTGGTAAATTGATTCGATAAAGTAGGATTAAATGTTGAGTAGCGTTAATGCGTAGCGTTAATGCGTAGCGTTAATGCGTAGCGTTAATGGGTAGTGTAAATTAAAAATTTTTCACTAAAACTATTCACAAATTTATATGATTCATTTGGTCATTGTTTCATCGACAAAATTCAATTATCCCCAATTAATTAACAATGACCAATAACAACAATAAACTTTTTAGTAAGATCAAATATGATCATGAAGTGTGTGTGATCATCATATATTTATTACTAGTATTTACAGAGGTTTATATACAAAAACTAAATTGTGAAATTACTCAGTTTCAAAGTATGTTACAATCACAATATAAAATAAAATCATCTGCATAATAATTTTTAGTTAATGAATCGATCAATTAAATATTCTTCCTAATAATATTCCCATGGTATTTCATTTTGTACATGGGTAATTGGATCGATATTATTTGTTGGTTCATTGACGAACTCAACGTTCTTGTGGCAGAACATCATCATTATCATCAAAAATAATCAGAGGATGTTTGGCAGCGTTATTATTAATGTTGTTTGAATTCATTTTAGATAATTAATCAACATGATTGAAAAATTGAAAATTGATAAAATTAAGAAATGGTAAAAAAATTTTAATATAGAAAATTTATAAAACATAATTCAAACATTAGAATTTTTAACGTTTATCATTCACGCTGCCGATTCAAAAACTAATATCAGAAGAACCTGATGATTGACTACCGCTGCAGTAACCACTTGTGGTAAATTCTTCGTCAGAATCTAAATCTTTAGAAATTATTGATCAAGTTAGAACTAATAATAAATAAGTGAAAAAAATGATTATTTACCATCTAAGAATAATAATGCATCGTTAACATTAATAAATATTTCTTCTTCGTCATCTTCCATTAACATAATTTCATCGTCAGCGTTAAAAAACCAAACATCGTCGCCAACTATTCTGGCGAATTCCATGAAATCATGCCAATGAAATTCCCATGGTAAATCGTCTTCATCATGGGGTGGCAATGGATCGAATTGGTTTAAGATTGATTCATCATCAATCGGCAATTCATTGTCAATTTGATCGTCTATGTTTTCATGTTGGTTATCATGTTCATCATCAAATATAATCAAAGGGATATCAGCGGCATTATTATTGTTTGCGGACTGATCGTCATCATCATCAAATATTATTAAAGGTATATCTGCCGCATTTCTATTGTTCTCCAATTGATTATCATCATCATCAAATGTAATCAAAGGAATGATGGCAGCGTTTGTAGAGTTTTCAAAAATGTTTTGTGAGTTCATTTTTGTTTTTTTAGTGTTTTGTGATTCAATAAATTTTTGTTGAGAAAAATTTTTGAGAAAGTAAATAGCGTAAATTTAAAAATTAATTTTATCAACTAAAACTATTTACAATTTTATATGATTTATTTGTTAATTGTTTTACATGAAAACAATAACATTAAATTAATTAAATATAACCGAATTACTTCAATAATCATCATCATCATAATAATAATGACCAACAAAATGATTGTTTTCATGATCATTAACCAGAACATGGTCAAATGGATCATAGGTTATGAAAAAAATACACCGATATAATCAAAAAAATATTCAATTATCATCATGCTCATTTGAGTCTTCGATGAAATTGACATTATCTACTTCAGTTTGATCATCATTTGAATCATCAAATNATTTGTTAATTGTTTTACATGAAAACAATAACATTAAATTAATTAAATATAACCGAATTACTTCAATAATCATCATCATCATCATAATAATGATGACCAACAAAATGATTGTTTTCATGATCATTAACCAGAACATGGTCAAATGGATCATAGGTTATGAAAAAAATAATCAAAATAGTTCAAAAAAAAAATTCAGTTATTAATCCTATCTTTCTCTTGAATCGAGCGTAAATTCGCAGTTTTTATAATGAAATTAATGATAAAAATTATATTATAAAGAAATATAATGATGATATTTCCATGGAATTTCATCATTGTCGATGCCACTGAAAAATTCTATAAACCCGTAATGTATTTCCTTAGACTGGTTGTAGATCTCTGCATTTCGGACCGGTAATCGAGTCGAAGCCGGCCCAAAAGATCGTATACCAGATGACGGACAGTTTGCTCACTATGTATTGTCGGGTAAATGTAATAAAATCATCAGTGGTATTCCCATGGAATTTCATTATCAACATGGGTCAATGGATCAAATTCATTGATTGAAGTGATCAAATTAAATAAATTAATTTAAATTTTTTCTATAAAAAAAATCAATCAATCAAATCAATCAAATATTCAATTATCATCATGCTCATTTGAGTCTTCGATGAAATTGACATTATCTACTTCAGTTTGATCATCATTTGAATCATCAAATGTCATCAGTGGGAATTGGACAGCTCTGGAATAGTAGGAATTAACATAATTGCCAATTTTGAAATTATTGCCACAAAAAAAATTGAAAATTGATAAAATAAAGAAATTGTAAAAAAAATTTAATATAGAGAATTATTTATAAAACATAATTCAAACATTCGATTTTTTTAACGGTTATCATTGCGTTAATAAGCTAATATCAGAAGAATCCGATGATTCACTACCGCTATAGTAACCAAAATCTAAATCTTCAGAAATTAGAAATTCGCAGTTATTGTAATGAAATTAATGATAAAAATTATATAAAGAAATATAAAATTTAATGAAAACATAATATAATTGAAAATTATTACGCAGCTGCCTTGCGGTTGTTATTCTGTAGCCGTGATACAGCTAAAATCATTCTAAAAAGGTAAATAATCACCATTAGTATAAAACGACAAAGTTCATAGTTTTGCATAAGTTCATCACTATTGTCTTGATGATTTGAAATTATTTTACCAGGATGAACTGGTGTCAACATGGGAAGATGATATTGGATCTCATATTCGTTATCATCTTCGCTATATGTGCTATCAGTTTCGATGATAACATCATCAGAATCTGAATCTCCCGATTCTATGGGAGTTGATGGCCTAGCAGGCGCAAAAATTTGGACCAGTTCGTCATCATCGTCCGTATCTGAATCATCATTTTCGATGCCACTGAAAAATTCTATAAACCCGTATTGTCGGGTAAATGTAACAAAATCATACCAGTGGTATTCCCATGGAATTTCATTATCAACATGGGTTAAAGGATCGAATTCATTGATGATCATTGATTCAATTGTGATTTCATATGAACCATCCGTATCATCAAAAATAATTGAAGGATGGTCATTTATTTCCTCAATATCATCCAATGTTATTAGTGGGCGTTCTACAGAGTATTCGGTATTGTGATTATGTTTATTCATTTTTTAAAAAGAATAAATTTGAATTAAAGATTCGATAAAAAAAATTGTTAGAGAGTTTGATTCAAAAAAGTTTGAAAGTCTCAGAGAGTTGTGAAAAGTGAATTTAACTTATGAAAACTATTCACAAGATTAATTGATAACCGTGTTAATCCTATCTTTTTCTAAAATCGAGCGTCAATTCGCAGTTATTGTAATGAAATTAATGATAAAATGATATAAGAAATAAAAAAAATTTAATTAAAAAAGTATAATTAAACATTGAAAATTTATATCAATTTTCATTATTACGAAGCTGCCTTGATACAAGTAAAATCATTTGGAACAGGTTAATAATTATCATAAGTATGAAGCGACAATAATTTTGTAATATTTCATTATTGTAGTGATGATTTATGATCATTTTACCAGGATGAACTGGTGTCCACATAGGAAGTGTCAGATCATATTCGAAATCATCTTGGCTATCACTTTCGATATCATTATTCGTTTCAATTGATTCAGTATCATCATAATCTGATTCTCCCGATTCTATGGGAGTTGGTGGCCTAGCACCATCATCATCATAACCGGTATCTGAATCCGTATCATTATTGTCGGTGCCACTTATAAATTCTATAAACCCGTATTGTCGGGTAAATGTGACAAAATCGAACCAGTGGTATTCCCACGGAATTTCATTATCATCGCGGGTCAATGGATCGAATTCTTCCATGATCGATTGATTGAAGTGATCAATATTATCTACTTCATTTTGATTATCATTTGAATCATCAAATGTCATCAGTGGAACTTGGGCAGCATTGGAATAATTGGAATTTTTATTATTTTTAGAGTTCATTTTTGATAAGATTCGATAAAAAAATTGTAATGAAAAAAAGATCAGAAAGAGTTCTGAGAAGTTTCTAGAGTGTTAAAATTGAACCTGATTAACGAAAACTGTTTACAATTTTATATGATTCATTAGGTGATTGTTTAATCAACAAATTCAATTTCTCTTAAGTAATAATAAAAACAACTTATTTAATATTATTACAATCAAAAACAAAGGAATAACCATGAATTCATAGTAATAGTAATAATATAATAACACAACAATAAACTTTTTTGGTAAAATCAGATAATCATATTACAAATGCAAACAGATTCGATTACCTAGTTTTTTTCATAAATAATTAAAGGATGGTCATTTATTTCCTCAATATCATCCAATGTTATTAATGGGCGTTCTACAGTGTTATCGGTAGCGTTAGTCTTGTGATTCACTTTTAAAAAAGAATAATTTTGAATTAAAGATTCGATAAAAAAAATTGTTAGAGAGTTTGATTCAAAAAAAGTTTGAAAGTTTCAGAGTATTGTGAAAAGTGAATATAACTTATGAAAACTTAAAAAAAATCTCGCGGTCATTTGAACATTATTGCTAATTTGTTGTTAAAATCAACACTCTGCCAAGAAGGCACTTGTGTCGAACTATGATGTTCGGATGGATCATGTGGTATGTTGAAAAAAAAATTCAAAAAAATAAAAAAAATCAAATTCAGCAATGTAAAGAATATATTTATTTAAAAAAAATTCATTCATTTCTTTAACCACTCGGATGGTGGTGGTGGTAAATTTAGTGGCGGTTTTATATGATCGTCGCCAGGAGCATTGATGTCTAATAAAATTATTTAGAAATTTCAAGTTATTTTGAAAAGCAAAATTAATATTGAAAAAAATCAAATTACCTCGATAATCTTGAAAATTGTCAATATTGACAACATCAACGACACGTGAATCATTTTCAATTTCTTGGAAGTTATCCGGTGGATTAACTTCTTCAAAAATTATTGGCGTTGAACGCCAATGTCTTGGCAAGTAACTCGTTTGGACAGTGAATTCGGATAGCCATTGAAATTCATTGGCTATTTCCTCCTCATCTGCGATTCTTTCTTCAAAGTCCGCAGTCGATTCAACATAATCATCACAGTCTTTGTAGACTATGAAATCAGAAGGAGGAATATTTGTTTTGTTTGAATTTTGTTGTTGTTTAAAATTCATTTTGTTTTGAATTTTTTCAGATAAATATTCAATAGAAAAAATATTGATAAGATTCGATAAGTGATAAGAAGGTATAAGCGTAGAAGTTGTAATAGATGTATAAATAGAAAAAATGAATTAGAGTGAAAAGTAATTTCTATTCGATAAAATTCTAACATTTTTATATATAATCCATTTGATTATTGTTGTTATCAGTTTTTTCTTTATCGAAAACAGAAATAAAAAAACAAAATAACTTTGTTTTGTAACGATAATAATAATAATCATTATTGTGATAAAAAAAAACATGGTAACAACTGAAAAACAAAATCAAATCGCAATCGGAAACAAACAAATTTGCAAAAAAACAATCACGTGTTTTTTGCAATAGGAAAAACAACAACAAACCGGAATCAGCAGCAAAATTTGAAAAAAAGCTGAGTTTGTTCATTGACTGTTTAGGTGTAAATATCCATTGAACACAAGTGCATTATTTTCTTTTTTTTAGATAAAAATCGAATAAAAATAAAAATTTTAAACTTTTTATAAAATTAAATTAAATTTTAATGAAAAGATAAAAACACATCACATATCACACTCATTCATTCTTAATATCATCCGATTGATTTGATGATGATGATGATGAAGTTGATGGTACAATTTCATTGGAATTTGATGAATTATAATCATCATTGATTGAAATTTGTTTTATTTTGATCATATTTGGGCTAGAATGCCACTTTAAATTTGTAGTATCATTGCGATCAGTATTCTGATCGAGCCATTGAAAATCCAATTTCATTTGATCTTCATCTTCGATTGTTTCGGCAAATTGCCTTGAGGTTTCCATGAGATCGTCTGGATCGGGAACATAGAAAAAATCATGCTTGATCTGTTTGTCTGTTTCATTTTCCAGATCATTGTCATTGTTGTTGTTTTGTTTGCTATTTGACGATTCCATTATTTTTGAATTTTGATTGAATTTTTGATTCGATATTTTGAACAATGCAAAAATGTTTTGGATGTAACATAAGAGTGTGATATGGTTTAAAATAAATTCAACCAACTAAAATTATACCTAATTTTATATAATCCTATGGATTATTGTTATTTATCGATTTTCAATTTGTAATTTTTTTTAATGGTCACAACAAAAACAAAAAAAAATTCCAAAGAATTACGAATATAGCTTTGTTGTTGTAAATTACAACTATGACATTTAATCATTGAACATTTATTTTTAAACTCTAATAATTCATTCATTTGATTGTCTTATATATACAATGTATTTTCCATTTTGTAGTGTGTTAAGCTTTGTCTCTTTGTTGTGTTCAATGAACGAAGAAAATAAAATTTTTAAAGAAATAAATGTCTAAAAATATAAAATATAAGTTTTATTTAAAAATTATCACTAATTTTTTATTTATTAATCTTAAAATTTAATTATTATTACTATTAATTTGAGAAAAAAGAAGAATCACATATTATGTTTGTGATCTTCATATGAAATTGATAATGATGATGATGATGGTGTTGTTGATATATCGGAATTTGTTTCATTATTATTATCAACCGGTTGACATATTTTGTTATTTTTGTTTGGAATTGGCGTAGAACGCCATTGAACCCCCGGGTTGTTTTCATATGTATTCGCATATAACCAATCAAAATCGCATTCTAATTGTTGCTGATCACCAATTTCTTCATCGAATTGATCGGTCGATTGCATATGAATGGTTGGTATGAAAAAGAAATCATTCTTGATTTCAATATCAGTATTGTTTGCGATATCTTTTTCATCATTTGTTTGGTTTGACTGATTATTTTTGTCGTTGTTTTTTGATTCCATATTTATTTTTAGATTTAATAATTGATGGTATAGTAAAAGTGATGAAAAGAAATTAATGAAAAGTAATTTCTAAAATAGCTAAAACTTTAAACATATAGCATAACTTTATACAATCCTATGGATAATTGTTATTATCGATTGTTAATTGTTTTTGACAACCAAAACAAAACAACAACAAAAAAAATTCCCAAGAATTACGAATATTGTGCTGTTGTAAATTACTACTATGAAATTTAATCATTGAACACTTATTTTTAAACTCTAATCATTCATGTATTTGATTGTCTTAAGGTATTTTCCATACTGTAGTGTGTTAAGCTCTCAGCGTCATCTTCATCGATGACTTGCGGTTGTGTTCAATGAACGGAGAAAATAAAATTTTTTTTAAGAAATAAATGTCTAAAAATGATTCTACAGTTTTTATGAAAAATGTAAAATATTTTAATTCATTTTTTTTTTGAAAAATATCACTCTTTTGATTTGTTTTCTTCATTATCATTGTTATTGGTATCCTGATCATTAAAATCAATTATGTTCATTGATTCGGAATTTGTTGATAAATCATCAACAGAATATTCACAATTAGCTAGCTGTGGTTGTGTATCATGTCGTTGTTGTTGTATCGGTGTTGAACGCCATTCATTGGTTACATGATTGTTCAACACAAGCCAATCAAAATCATTTGTTATTTGATTTTCATCATTAATGCTTTTCTCAAATTCACTTGTTGATACCATCTGATCTGCTGGATCTGGGATATAGAAAAAATCATTAAAAAATGTTTGATTTGATAGATTTGAATTATTTGCATTTTGATTTCCATCATTATTTTCTTCGATGGATTGTTGAGTATTGTTATTGTTGCTACTTTTTGACTCCATTTGTAATTAAAACTTGATAAAGATTCGATATATTATAATAATTTTGATAATTTAGATTCTATCAATATTCAGCCCTAATAGTGATATTGAAAAATAATTTTTATTAGCTAAAAAACTTTCAACATTTTTATACAATCCATTGGATAATTGTTATTTATCGATTTTCAATTTAAATAAAGAATTATAAATATTTTAAATTTGAATTGAATTTTATTTAAATAAAAATTTACAAACAAAACAAAGAAATACAAAAAATTAAATTAACCGACTAAATAGACTAAAGTCATCATTAATTCATCTTGGTAAGTATTGGAGTAAAACCAATTAAAATCATCGGATACCTGATCCAAATTGCCAATTGTTTCTTCGAATTGGCTGCTAGTCTCTAACTGATCGCTTGGATCAGGTATATAAAAAAAATCTTGCTTTATATTTACACAAGAATTTCGTTTTCATTAACAACATTAATTGTTTTATTGAAATGATCATAATTCTTCAATGAATCGTCAATAATGACGATACGATGATTTACCGGGCTAGTTGGCGGTGCCGGTGGCATGCTCACCGGTCTTTCATATATATCGGAGTCTGAGTAATCTGAATCAAATAAAATTTAATTGTTTAATATCAAAAAAATTGAAAAAAATATTTTCATTTACCTCCGAAAAAAACTCTCAAAAATTGTCAGAAATACTGTCATTAATCATTACAAATAATTTCGACAATGTTGATTGAAACATGCATCATCGAATGGAACGTGCATCATTATAGGAGACGTTTCCAGAGTATTCATGTTTTTCGAGATTCAAATCTTCACTATGTGCATTACACAATATGATCTGTGATCCTATTTGTGATTTTATTTTTATAGTTGAAAAATTCAACATTTTTTTTGTTAAATATTGAT